AATGCACTGGAGTTACAGACAGAGGAGTCCCAGACTCCTTAGATTTTGATAAACACATAATTCTCTGTTCTAAAATTATACATCAGAGTTCCTTAACTGGACTCAGTCCAGTTCTTGTAGAACACCCAGTTCAACCTTTGAAATCCAAACCAGATTTTGGTTAGACCTAGTCTGGAAGCTAGTGTACACTATACTGGACCTGGTCCAGTTTCTGTCAATCACTCAGCTCAACCTCTGGATCCTTTCAGAAATAAAACTTCTCAAATAAACTTATAGAGCTCAGGATGCAAAATGCAGAGGGCTCAGGATGCAAATGCAGGATGCAAAATGCAAAATCTGAGAGGCACTTACCCGTAACCTTTAGATGCAGCAAGAAATTAACACAATGGGCTCAGCAAGTACCTATGCCTGGTTGCTTACTGCTTCTGGGGATTACAAGGGGATCCTTCAGATCCCATTTCTGACACCAAACTGGTAAAAATCAAGGCACAACAAACTTTTCAAGTTTATTTCAATAGCAAGCAATTCATGAACTGGGAAACACACAAACCAAAAGCAGTACTCTGATGACAAAGCATCAGAGGCAAGTATTTATAGGATGAACGCAGAAGCAAAATTTAAAAATTATTTGATTGGTTGCTGTTATGAATTTGCCTTTTCTCTTTACCTTGCTGGAAAGTTCATAGTCACTAATCATATGTTGATTGGCTGCTTATGAATGACTGAGATTAAGTTTTGTTTCTGTCTAGAAATGACAGAAATGACTCAAGTTAAATTAATTTACCAGAAATAACCCAAATTAAGTTTTGCTTATGTTTTCAATTTAAGCATCATTAAAGCTATTTTTAATGCCTAATTAGTTTTGTTTGCTCAGAACCCACTCTCCACTTTAATTTTGTTTTAACAAGATGAATGTTGATGTTGAATTATTTAGCTGTGCCAAAGTGTCTGTTACAAATGCAGTACCACTAATTCTCTTAAGTTCTCTGAGTCACAAAGAAAGAGTCTGGGATGACATTTCTTTTCATCCCTTTCCCCATATGGACCACATGAAAGTCCACCAACAAGAGGCACTCAGGTGAGATTTGGGAGGTGGATGAGAAAGAAGGAGAATCATTCTCTGGTACAGCAAAGAGACAATGGGTGAACCACAGATGTATATTACAGCAGACGAGCATCTGAAAGCCACCAGCTCCATGCAGCAGTGAGTTTCCCCAGGCCTGTGCATTCCCAGCTCTCCAAAGCATGTGACAGTCTCTAATTCCCTGGACAGAAAGTGCATCCTACTTTTAATATCTAAATGTGCTTCAGTTTTCCTAATTGACTCCTCTGTATCAGCTGAGGAACATGCAATGCTCTTTGGAAACAATGGAGACAAAATAATTTTCAGAAATAACAGACCCCAGTAGTCCTGGGTTATAAAATATGAAAATGAGACTACTTACATCACAAGGGATTTGTGCCACATATCTAGCTAAAATTCTCATTTGACAAGTGTAAAAGATTTTAAGATAATCTATACCACTAATTTATATTTTTGTCTTGAATTTACATCCCTCATAAATTTTGAAATATTTTGAGGCAAAACATTTCCAAAGTCTTTGTAAGACAGTGTCTTACATCACACTTCTCATCTAGTGCTCAAGAAAAATACCTGTGAATTTTCCAATTTTAGGTCAATTAGTCTTTGTTACTATTTTAAAAGTCTTGCCTCTATGGGCATTTTTTGGTGCCTTAATGGAAGATATTTCATGTTTCCTATACATTTAATTTTTTAATTTTTTTCCGCCTTGTTTTCCAACAAAATTTTCTATAACTGAAGTAATAACTTACTTTACCTTCTCTCCAACTAAAAATGTTGTTTTGCGTGTGTGCAATAATTCAAGTTTTATTGCTGTCAGTCATAAGCTCAGATCCTGTTAAACATTGTTTAGTTTTTCATTGGTAAATGTTTAATTCTGGCTCCAGGTGACTAATGTTGTCAATTCTGATTTTGATTGTTGAGAGAAAGCTTTTTATCATGCACCCTATGTAACTGCTGAAAATGTCTCATCATAATAGTACACTCCATTATCTTTCCTTTTTTTTTTTAACACAACAAACAAGCTGTGTGTTTTCTTTTGCTGTGCTGTGGCATATTACTATTACTATTAATCATGAAATTTGTGACATATCTCCTGCTCATCTATAGTTCTCTTTCCTGTTCTAATTGTAGCACTAGCTTAATCATCTCCATTCAATTCTGCATCAGCATTGTGCCTTCACTTCAAAATTAAAAACTTGTCTATACTTATTTTAAGCTAAAAAGTAATTTGTGTTATAAGTAAAATAATACTTAGCATTTAATTTTAATTATCATTTACAACATAGATAGGTGTAACTATAACTCATACTGCCTACATAAAATATTGAAATAAAGATATTATATCCTGATTAAAAAATTATTCAGACTGAATCAATCCTTTGACACTGACTAGATCAGTGATGTATCTACATGTGGTGCTGAAAACAATCCATATGGCAACACATTTGCAGTCCAATACAGATGCATCTCTATTTTCAAATTTCTTCTTCTTCTTCTTCTTCTTCTTCTTCTTCTTCTTCTTCTTCTT